CTTCTTGCTGATGGTCTTGTAGCCCATTCAAGCCTTGTGCAGATCTACAATCTTGTCCCTGACATCCTTTGACAGCTCTTTGGTCTTGCCCATGGTGGTGGGAGAGGTTGGAATGGAAGATACAGATTGTGTGGACAGGTGTCTAATACACCTAACAAGCTTACATTAGGAGTAACTTCTTAAAGTGGCAGGACTAATCTGTGTTCCACATGGGCACATAACCAATCTGTGGGAGCCAGAATTCTTGCTGGTAGGTAAGGGATCAAATACTTTCTGTATTTCACTCACTGAAATGCAAATGCATTTCTAACCTTTATACAATGTGCTTTTTCTGGATTTTTTGGTTGATATTCTGTCTCTATCCGTTAAAATAAACCTACCATAAAAATGACCCTTCATTTATTTGTAAGTGGGCAAACTTACAAAATCAGCAGGGGATCAAATAAATATTTTCCCGACTGTAAAATCTTGTACAACCAGGCCAGAAACAGATTGACAAAGGAGATCAGAGTGGCTAAAAACTACCCTGAAAAGCTAAAAAGTTTTCAGCCAACGACCCGGCGTCAGTATGGACTGGTCTGAGGAACATCACTAAGTACAAGACACCACCCCCACAGTCTGTGGAGAATAAACAACTGGCTGATGACCTGAATGTGTTTTACTGCCGATTCGAAAAGCCTCACTCCTAGGGGGTACGGCTCATCTTGTGTTTGGTACGCCAAGGTGATGGTATTCACTAGCCAGTGGGCCAACCCCTGTTTGGAGGCAGCCTTCCCCTTGTGCTGTCCTCCAAAGCAGACAAAAGGCTGGTCAGAACTTCTAAAGCTCTATGTGCGGTCCACGTAAATGCACTGAGCGTGAACAGGACACAGTGGTGCAAGGGCTAGGTCTGCCTCCTCCAAAGGCAGCACTTGCAAGTTCACCACCTGGTCCCAGAAAGGAGTAGTGGGAACTTTGGGCACATATCTAGGCCGGGGTCTCAGGATAACATGAGAGTCAACCGGTCTGAATTCAATGCACACTTCGCTGACCGAAAATACTTGCAGGTCCTACACCCTCTTGATGGAGGTGAGTGCAGTCAAGAAAGATGTCTTAAGAGACAGGATCTTAAGCTTGACTGACTCTGGCGGCTCAAAGGAGCTCTCTGCAGTCCAGAAAGGACCACAGAGAGATCCCAATAGGGATGAGTTACGGCCTACGAGTGGAACCTGATGACCATGTCATGTTTTCCCATGGACCTGTCGTCCACTGCATCATGATGTGCTGTGATAGTGGCCACATACACTTTCAAGGTGGAGGGGGACGGCCTCTGCTCCATCCTTTCTTGCAGAAAGGAAAGCACAGCACTGATCGGTCATCTCTGGGGCTTCTCAATGAGAAGCATCCCAGTCACCAAACAGACTCCACTTCAGGACATACTGTAAGCCTACCTGGTAGAGGGGGCTCTGGCCTGAATGATAGTGGCTATCACTGCCTGTGACAAGCCACCTGAATCCTCCACGTCCCATCTAGGAGCCACACATGGAGGTTCCAAAGATCTGTATGCGGGTGCCAAATTGTGCCCTGCAGTCGAGGTCCTGTCCGGGAGCCCGAGGCTGCATGCCCATTGCACACGGCAACCCAGCCTGTCTTGAAGGCGTTTGTTGTAATAACAACATGCCTGGACACTTGTTCTAAGGGCACTCCTGCCCGTAGAAAGGCTAGTTCTGACCAAGGGCCAAAAGTCTGGCGAAAACTCGGCGTAATGGACATGTGAAATGTGCCATTTGCGCCATGCCCATCTCGGGACTCGGCTGAGTAGCCAGCGATGAAGCAGTCTCATATGTAGCAATTCGAGCAGCAGTACTGCAGCTGAGGATGACATATGCCCCTGAAGCCTCTGAAATTGTTTCAGTGGAACTGCTGTTTTCCCCCCGAATGCATTCAGACAGTCCAGCATTGACTGGGCATGGTCGTTCGTGAGATGTGCTGTCATGTTGACTGAGTCCAGCTCCATACAGAAAAAAGAGATGCTCTGCACAGGAGAGAGCTTGCTCTTTTCCCAGTTGACCCAAAGCCCCAACTGGCTGAGGTGCTGGAGCACAAGGTCCCTGTGTCTGCACAACAGATCTCGAGAGTGAGCAAGAAAGAGCCAGTTGTCGAGATGGTTGAGAGTGTGAACGTCCACTTCCCTTACTGGGGCAAGGGTGGTCTCCGTAACTTTGGTAAAGACACTGAGATACAGGGATAGCCTGAAGGGGGGAACTTGTAATGATATGCCAGACCCTCGAAGCAAACCAAAGAAACGGTCTCCGTCGAGGCAATATCGAGACGTGGAAGTATGCATCCTTCAGGTCGATTGCTGCAAACCAAGTTTACTCAGTCACCCAGAGGCAAAATCAGTCACCGTGTGTAGTTAATGCATCAACTCCGGCTCAGAACTACCCACGTGCAATACAGTGCGTTGGCTTGATATATTTGCAGGACAGTCATCGCATGCAGGGTGGAGGCGAGAAAGTTGCGAGGCATGTATGAGGACGGGAGGCATGCATGATTCCCTCATGCATTTTGTGGCACTGCAATCGCACTCTCCTCCTAGGGAATCTATGCGCACTTCCAGGTGGCCCCACCATCAAGGGTAGTGAGGGTGGAGCAGGCTGGGAAGCAGCTTCGGGCAGTAAAAAGGTGCCTTTCATGACTTTGTTACCTCCCCCATGCACTTCCGGGAAGAATGGCAGCAGAAACCAATAATCCAGCCGCAAACCCTCGGGGCAAGGCCAGGGATCCCACTCCAGCTAGATGCTCATGGCGGCCCGGGAAAGTATGGCCATTAATTCTGAGTCAGTCTCTGACTGAGCAATCAGCCCAAAGCGGTGACGCTGACCTGAACCTTCATCCTCAGAGGACATTGGCTCACCCTCCAATGCAGTGATCGAAATCTGATCCTCCTCGGGAGCCCCGAATAACACATAAGATCGGCATCACTTGGGAGCTCGAACAGCACGCAACGCGCAAGAGGAGCGGGAGATCTGTGGGGACTGGCCTTGTGGAAAGCTCGCGCTATAATCCTCTGATCTCCCAGAGTGCTAGTCAGCGTGAGGCTGAGTTGCAGCAGAGGGGACTCAAGCCTTCACGAAGAGGGCAAGTAGTGATCACAGCGTCGCCATAGTTAAGCTCTCACAACGAGAGCATAAACCATCCACAGTTTCAGCATGCTTATTAAATGTGGCCGTCGGAAGAGGTCAAAAAACAACCACATCCAGAAACGCACGGACAGAGAGGCATCTTTAAAAAGATACTGACCGCCTGTGTTGCTCTTTTAGGGAAAACTACTCTTTTATTTGCTGAAGTGCCCGGGGGGAATCGCTGCACTCATCTGTGCCAAACACTGGCAAAACACCGCTGAATGCACCGTCAGAATCACCAGCAGCAAGAGAGTTTCTGCTTTTCTTCTACTCATTTAGAGATAAATGAAAGAGTGATGACTCAAACATGGGCAACCGCCCTCTTATTTACGCGTGTGTACAGGTGAGTGGCTGGGCATGCAAATTCCAGTTACAATTACAGTTTTTTACTACTCAGAGGTGATTGGGGCTCCCAAGTTAGACCATCAGTATCGACATAACATCAACCGTGACTGACTGAAAAGGAAGTAAGCATTCAAATATCATCTTACTAAGACATACTACTGGGAGATATAGCGACAACTGACATTTATATACATTAAGTAGTCGGCTATACTCTAATTTATTTACATTACAAGCATACTTGTAATGTAAATCAATTACTTACTCAAGATGTACTGTAGTATATGCATATCTTGCATCTTATGTGAAATTATATCCAGTAAAGTGGAGGCTCAAAGGTTGTGCAAAAGCAAACTTACCAATTAAGGAAGTAAATAATTCGGGAGCTGAACTTCCTGCAGCCATGAAAGTCGCCCCAGCCACATCTTCACTCAGCTGCAGATTCTAATCAAAAGCATCATATAAAAGATTAATCATGAATACTAGCAATAATGCACAACTAATAAAATTCTCTTTGTCCTACACATTGTTTCAAGATATTCGTCGGCACTCATAGATACCACATCAAATGCCATGTACTTCAACCAATCTTCCCTTGTGAAAAAGAAGTGGACTTAACTGTAATGAATATGCAAATATAGTGTACTTCAACTCTTAACAGTACACTTTTCAAAAACTGCACTTGCAGATAATATAATATTAATGAAAAAGATCACTTAAAGACACTTTCATAACTGTTTCTTAACACTTAAGTACACTTTTAAAAAGAAATGTCAGATTAAAAGTTTTACTTTAAAGTACATTTTCAATCATGTTTTATTACTCTTTTGTCATGCTTTAAAGTAATTTTTTGATGTGTTGACTAACTATTATGCAATTACATATAAAGATGTAATTCAGTGGGTCAAAAATCACTCTTAAGTTTAGCTAATTGCATTTAATATAAATGTAAACTATAATACATTTTCATTTAATTGCAGTTAACAAGCATTTAAATGTCAGAAAACGTTGCATTAAGTTCGCATCTAAGTATATTCTTTTAAATAATATTATTTCCAAATTAAGTATGTATGTATTTTTAAGTATGCTAAAGTGTACTTCTTTTTCACAAGTGTTCTCCAGTAGCATGAATCTCTGCAGTTTTTACATTAATATTTAAATCTCAACAGCTCCTGACAAATTGTGAACAAAGCCAATTCCCTGAAGGAACGTGAACAAAGAGAATTTCCCAGAAGGCAACACATGTTAATTAACATTTTAGCCAGAGTTCATGACACATAGCATCAGTACTGACCCGTGGGAGCAGAAAAACAAGATTGTCATCACTTCATTTTAGCAAAAGTAACATGTGCTGTCATTCTTATTCCAGCTGAAATGTCTGATAGGTGGCACTCACCTCTGAGATCTTCTCCAGGGATGGAACAAAATAGTCATCGCAAATGATAGCCAGTGCGTAGAACATATAGACAGCCTGCAATGGATAGATAGATAGATAGATAGATAGATAGATAGATAGATAGATAGAACAATATAATGATAAAACGATAGATAGAACGACAGATAGAGCGATAAAATGACAGAACGATAGATAGATAGATAGACAGAGTTTTAGAACAATATAATGATAGAACGACAGATAGAGCGATAGAACAATAGAACGATAGATAGATAGATAGATAGAACAATATAATGATAGAACGATAGATAGATAGATAGATAGATAGATAGATAGATAGAATTATAGAACGATAGATAGAGCAATAGAACTATAGATAGATAGATAGATAGATAGAACAATATAATGATAGAACGATAGATAGAACGATATAGAGCGATATAACGACAGAACGATAGATAGATAGATAGATAGATAGAACAATATAATGATAGAACAATAGATAATGATAGACCGATAGATAGATAGATAGACAGATAGATAGATAGATAGATAGAGCGATAGAATGACAGAAAGATAGATAGATAGATAGATAGATGGATGGATGGATGGATGGATGGATGGATGGATGGATGGAGTGTCACTCACACAGAGCACATGCAGTAGTACGGCTCCTCTCTTGCGCTGCTCTTTGGTGAAGATGTCCTCAGGGAACTCATGAATTGCTAATGGGAGAACACCACATGGTTTGGACATGGAATCATCAGAAACAATTGTGCTTGCTGGATTTTCAAAACCAATTTTGCTGAATGTGTGGTGGGATAGTTACACGTATGACACCAATGTTCAGGTAAAATATACAGAGGAATGTGAACTTCAATGAAGACAGAACCCAATTCTATTTATAGCAACCCATCACCGTGCTACTGAAGCCTCCCTTCTACACTCATATGAAAACATACACACTATAGACCCACTTTCTAGATTACGTTACCCCAGGAATTTGTGCCTAAACACAAACACAAATAGAAGACTTTTCAAAAGTAAGAGATTTCAATCTGATCTCAAATAATTCCCATCAAATTCTCATTAAAGACCAACATTATCTGAGCCTGGACTCTGTTTATATGTAGATATTCTTATGTATCTTTGTACTTTGTTAAGAACAATATGGACATAATGGCAGCATCTAAAATGCAATAAGTATTATGTATATACAGCTATAGAAATGTAAAATATTTACAAATCCTTTATTTCATAAATATATTTATATAAGTACATTTTACAGTTTTATAGATATATTTTAGGTCTCTTAAACATTTCCTGAAACCTAAACAAAACCACTTAAAAATAATAATAATAAGTACAGTGACAATAATTTTACTTTGATAATCCCTCTCCTATCTTTCATTCAATATTTATTATTATTATTATTATTATTATTCATTTGTTCCTCAATCAAATAGATTCTAAAAATTTGGATTGCAGCCCAAGAATAAAATAGATTACTTTCATGATTATTTTATTGTGCATTTGTGATTCATTTTATGGTTGTTTTTATTCACAAGACATTCAGAAAAATGCAGTGTCTCATGACAAACAAAATAAATATTACGTAAGTAGTGGTTGAATGATTACCAGAATTTTTATTTTATATAATTTTTTTTTTCTTCATTTAAAGTGTAGTCTTATTTAAATTTATTTTATCATTTGAAATGACTTGGAAAAAGTCACACAGAAAATATTATATGTTATAATGTTGAATGTTATCATTTCAAATTAAGTAAAGCAACTTCACTTAACAAGCCACCTGCGTATAATAAATGCAACTGAAACATAATCTCAGAAATACAACAGAATCAGCCTATTTATTTCATTAATGAAATATCCATAGATTAAATATAATTTACATCTTAGATGCTGTCAATACGTTAGTATTGTATGTTTTAGTGTCTATGCAAATATAAGTAAATGTACGTAAATGTATGTGAACCAAATTTTACGTAAAATAATACTCATGGGACGATGTTGCTACTATCCAAATTAATTTTATAGCATGTCAATTGACTAATTTTTTCTTTAAAAAAAAATATTCTAAGATATTTTAGAAAAGACAAGTTGAAGTTCTCAGTTGTGTTTCACTAAAGTACCATCACGTCTCCTAAAAGAGCAACCTTTGACTCTGAGCAATAACATTTTCCACTAACAAAAACAAACACGTGCACAGGAATAATTTTCTGTTTTGCCCTTTACATCCAGACAAAAACTTCTTCATCCCTCCTTTGTTATTTACAATGGTTTCTTTTTCTTGTATTCTCTCATTGCTCGTCTTTTTTTCCTCTTTGCTATCTCACTCTCTCTATCCTCCATTTCCTTTTCCTTCCTCTTTTTTTGTCATCTTTCCATCCTCTTCTGTAGCCCAGTGTCAAAAGACATGTTTTGGCTCTATGTAAATCGCTAAACCGCACTGAAAAACCCGCCTCAGATGAACGTCCTGACGAGCTGCCTCAGAGAAGGCAGTTACTATGGCAACGTCTTCCCTAGGGCAGTGAATTGTTGACGAGCAGCGGCAGGAAGCCAATGGCAACAGAGCGAAAGTGAGAAACTGGGTGGAGGATATATCTTTCCCATGGACTTGATTTAGGAAATATGGAAAAAAAGGAGTGACCAAAGAGATGACAAGCAACAGAAGTGCAACTGCTAAAAATACTCCATTTCCCTCTCCCAGAGGGAACGTCTTGGGGTTCTGTGAGAAAGACGCACATATAAGACGGTGCTTGACTCCAACAAAAATAGAGAAAGTGTGTAAATAAGATGGCAGAGCAAGTGAATGATTTTAAGACAAATCAAATAACGGAAAATGCTAGGATAATGGAAACTTTCACACTTGTTCTCAATTTTCATTTTTTTGTAGCCCTCATGTATTTACCATTTGTCAGTGCAACTTATGGTGCGTTCAAGTCATGTCGGATAGATCGTATTTACGAGTTGAACGCACATGAACGCCACCACAAAGTCGTTATTATGAGTGGGAAACTCAACATTTTCTTTAAGCCCCGAGTTTCCGAGTTGGGGGCGTGTCAATGAGAAACATGGCGGAATCGATGGATGCAACGTATAGTTGACGGTACATTTTTGTTTAAATTGATAGTTTAGTTGTCCTATAAACTTAAATTGGTCATGTTCTTGTTACACAGCTGAAATCCAAGTAAAAAAATGCAGACCCTGTTGTATTTTCTTGTAATTTATTAAAAGAAGATACACCGCCATCTTGTGCCGACTAAACTGACTTGAACGCAACTGACGTCGTAATTACGACTTGTCAACTCGTAAGTACGAACGTCCCAGGAGGACTTGAACGCAGCAATAGGTTCATTGGAAAAATTTGTGCAAAACTCCAAAAATGTACCTATGAATACAAGTCACTGCAGTTTTCAGCTGAAATGAACACTAGTGGCAGTAAAACACCAACAAATTTTATTCCTTTTCACACAAATTATGATTACAGGGGCAGATTATTGATAAAAAAAATACTTATTTTTATGCGCTTTAAAACATTTTTTTTTTAAAGCGCATATTTCCTGCACAATACTCTTTTATGACCTCAAAACATTTTTAACATAGTGCATGATTTGTAAACTAACACATTTTGACATTTGCATCCAATAACCAGCTCCATACATATGGCTTTTCTGACGTAGTAAACTTGCTCGATTGCACACCCGGTGCATCATTGCACTTGAGACACAAAGCCCTCGGGTGCGAGTCCTAGAAACACGAATCACAATAAAAGAGCTACAGGACGTCTAGAAGCAATCTAAAATTACACAGTTGCTTCAGCAAATGCATTTTTATCTTACATTCGCTTGTGTTAACAATATGGGTTAGGTTTAACGTAAGGTTTAGTGCAGGTGGTATATTCTTTTCAAATGCAATAGAGCATAAACCCTTTAGCGCCACTCACTGGACATTTAATTTTCGAACTGTGGCGATACGAACTACAACCAACGTAATAACACATCGCCGGATTCACGTTCATATGTTTTGGATAAAACTAAACACACTTTTAGTGTCACCCACTGGACATTTCACATTGAAAGCACCGCAAAACTCGTAAGAAGCAATGTAATATAATTTAGCAGAAATGTCGCCACAGACACAAGTTGCGTCAGTGTGCAAATACGTCACTGTGACCTTTCACCTCACAGCAACAGACACCTGCTCTGCCTCTTAAATACAAGCAGCCAATTCGGGCCTTGTGTTTCCTTTTTCTTACCAGCTGGAGCCAAGTTTAGCTCCAGTGCAGCTGCGCAAATCAGCAGCCCTCAGCAAATCATTGAAAGCCGCTCAAATGATGATGGCTCACCCAATCCTCTGTGACAGTTATTCTCTATATAAAGAATAGAGTGAAAGACTTCACTACACACTATTAAAAATAAAGGTTCCAAATAAGGGGTTTTGTTGTGATGCAATAGAAGAACGATTTTGGGTTTCTCAAACACTCTTTCAGTTAACAGTTCTTAAAACATCCTTTTTTTTTAGTGTGGAGAACCGTTTACCACTATAAAGAACCTATTGTTGAATGTAAAGGTTCTGTTGATGTTAAAGATTCTTCATGGAACCATCAATGCCAATAAAGAACCTTTATTTTTCAGAATGAAAGAACAAAATGGATAGAGAAAAGGCTTTGGTGGCTTGAATGTATGAGAGAAAAAGTGACAGCATCTGTCTTTCTGTCTGATTGTGTGACTGCAAGCTGTGAGTGACAAACTGCAAAAGAGAATGAGGAGAGAGAGAATGTTATGCTATTGACTTAAAATGGCAGGGTGTCTTGGTGTCCAGCTGGGTTATCAACTGCAAAACACGACCCCGCAGTCTACAACAGCAACCCACTCAAGACTGATTCAGCACATATGCTAAAAACCTGTGCATCACATACTACGCCAGGGTTATTATAGTAAACTAAACTCTAAAAACCTTAAACATAAAATATTTTCATTACTTGAAATAAAATAATCTTTAACTGAAATTAAATAAAACAAATATGCATATAAAATATAAATACACATATATACTTAAACTTATTTTATTTCACACATTTGCCAAAGCAACTTTTCTCATTTTTCAATTAAGTTTAATTTTATCTACTAAAATAACAATCAATAAATATTATATAGACATATTTAAAAAAAATAAAAATAATCAAAGTGACAAAACCACAGCTAAAATAAAACTTAAATTGAAATGAAATTTGAAAATTAAAAGAAATATTCTGGGTTTAATACAAGTTAAGCTCAGTTGGCAGCATCTGAAGCATGATGTTGATTACCACAACAAATGATCTTGATTCTTAATCATTCAGTCAGTCTATCTATCTATCTATCTATATAATTTATATGAGACCTAAATGTAAAATGTTATAATAGCACATTCTTCTGTAAACAATTGTGGATTATTTGAGCTGTAAAGCTGTTTAAATCGTGATTTTTCATGATGTTTAAGGTTTAGGGTTTTGATGAAAAAAATCGATAAAATTATGAATAAATATGACTGGATAAATACAATAAATAAAACTGAATAAAATGTCACACAGAAAAGGCTATTAAGCATTTTTCTCACACTAAATAATGTTAGCAAGCATATTGTTTATGTCTTGTGGCTGTACTATTGAAACTGAGTATTTGAACATTTATAAATCAGCTCCATTCACTTCCATTGTACGTGC